TGCATGCAGCGCAGAACTGCTCCGTAAGGTTTTCTTGGCTGTGAACTTTCAGAAGCAGACTGCCAGACCTTTCTTCCAAGGTGCCTCTGGGTGGGGTAGAACCACCAACCTTCCAGTTAGTAGTCAAGTTCTTAAGCGTTTGCGCCATCCAGATGAAGCTCACACTCCTTGGCTTGGCATTCAAAGCCCATTTGCTCCATCCTGACCTGCCTCCCCAGCCTCCTCTCCCCTGCAGCTTTGTTTTCTCCCACATAAGCCAGTCACACCTCCAGGCCTCGCCTCATGCACGTCTTTCTGCCTGGAATGCCCTCCCCGGGGCCTCCCCTCCATTCATCCTCCAAGATCCAGCTCCCTCCTCTGGAACCCTTTCCGGACTTCCCAGCAGAGGGCGCCATTTCCCACTCTGTGCTCCCACAGCTCCTCTGACGGGTTTCCATCACACTGTGTTCACAAGGCTGACTGCACAGTGGGGACAGTGTTTTTCAGCTCTGGCTGTAGCAAGTAGCTGGAGTGGGCAGCAGGGGATGTGGGTGGGAGGTGATCACCTGGACTATGGTGGGGCAGTGGAGACAGAGACATGGACAGACAGGGATATAGTTTTGGACTTGCTGATGGAATAAACAAGGTGGGGTAGAGAAAAGGGGAAACTGAAGGTACTAGCCTCAACTGAGCTAAGACCAGGCGCTCTGGGCTCCAAACCACTTCCTGGGTGACTTCCGAGTCTCCCTCTGTTAAATGGGATAACCATGCCATCCTAAAATGTGGTGAGAGGGTTAAGTAAATTCACACGTGGTCATTTTTCAGTAAATGGAAGCTATTATTGATAACGCCCATTTTAAAGATGAGAAAAATCAAGACCCACCAGGGATGATAAGGGGGGCTCTATCCACAAGAAAAGCACTGAGAATAGAAACTGCACAAGGGCAGGATGTTGCTTGCTGGGTTCCCTGCTGTTTCTCCAGAGCCTAGCACCCTGCCTGGCACACGGGAGGTGCTCAGTGTTTGTTGAATGAGGCTGACCCCTCCCCACTCTCTCTGCCCCACAGAAGCAGGACTGGGTCTTTGAAGGCACATTGGTCCAGTGATCCCCCAAACTCTCCAGTGGCTCCACCCCACAACCTGATTGCAGCTCTGGCTCTGGCCCGCTCCTACCTTCATCCCCCTCGCCCAGCTGCTCAGCAATCTTGGAGTAGTCAGAGCCGCCCACCACGCCAATCTGTACCCGACTGCGCAGCTTCTGCAGGAAGGCAGCCACCTCTGGGTCAATTTTCTGGGGGCAGGGGGACAAAAGATTCCAGCTGTCAGCACGCCTAGGACCCCCACTTGGTCCTCAGAATCCAGGGAGCCCGTGTACCCCTGGACCTGAGGCACCGCAAGGGTTAGAGCCCAGACCTCAGGACTGGAGGTACTCGGGTTCAAACACTGGCTCAAGACCCTCACTAGCAGATGACCTTGAGCATGACCTTGAGCAAATGGCTTAGCCTTTCTGGGCCTCAGGTCTCTCATCTATAAAATGGGGATCACAGCAGAGTAACCACCTGGGGAAGGGGTCCCAAGTTAGGATTAAAGGAGATAATGCATCCAAAGTGCTTGGAAATGAATAAGCAATTAACCGGTGAGTAAACCAAAATCCAGGAGAGTTGACTAAAGACTCACGTATGTCAGAGTACAACCGTGCTCCATAGGATTTTCAGTGGTTGATTTTTCAGAAGTAGATCCCCAGGCCTTTCTTCTGAGGCACCTCTAGGTGAACCTGAACCTCCAAAAAGGTTAGCACCACCCAGGGACTCCAACTGGTGAGTAATCATGTGAAAAGATACCCCACCAGGGAAACGTAAACTAATGAGTCGTAACCCATTTTTTCATTCATTCAGATATGCAAAAATTAAAACAGCTGACCATCTCTAGAGTACACAAGGATGGGGGGAAAACAGGAACTCCCAAAGGCTGCTGGTGAGAGTGTAAACTGGCAGTCATTTTGGAAGGCAATTTGTCAAGACTGAGTTAAAATTTAAAGCGTACATACCCTGTCATCCAGAATTCCCACTTCTCTTGCCCAGGTGTATAAGGAAGTTCACCAGGGTATGGTTTATAATGGTGAAAAACTGCAAACAACTTAAATGCATGTCAGCTTGAATTGTGTCCCCCCAAAATATGTGTTGGAATTCTAACCCCCATACATGTGGATGTAATCCCATTTGGGAATATAGGGTTTTCTTTGTTATGTTAACGAGGCCATTAACAGCATAGAGTGTGTCTTAAACCTAATGACTTGAGATACAGGCAGTCCCCAGGTTGCGTAGTTACAACCCAACCCCCAGCCTCTGTAAAACCTATTATATTAAAAATTTGAGGTACATACTGTTGTAGGGGAAAAAACATCACAAAGTCTATTAAAGCAAAAAGAAAGTTTTATTCAGCATATATTCAAAAGGGCAGAAGTGGGAAGCAGACAGCCATGCTGCCAGAGCCAAGTCTGCCTGAGTCCAAGGAAATATCACAGAACAGACAAAAGTGGGAAAACGGACAAGCATGTTGCTAAAGCCATGTCTGTTCCAGTCCAAAGAATATCACAGACTAGGCAAGAATAGGAAAACGGACAAGCATGCTGTCGTCACAGCCATGTCTGCCCTGAGTCCAAAGAATATTACAGAACAGGCAAGAATGGGAATACGGACAAGCATGCTGCCACAGCCATGTCTGCCTGAGTCCAAAGATCAGTTACAGAGCCATCAGTATATATTAACATTACAAATGGGCAAAATCATTGAAAGCTTAGCCTTTTCAGATTGGCTAGAAACTGGGATCCTACATCTTGAATTGTCTTTCTTAACAATCATTGGTACAGGTCTCAGTAACAAGAGTCAGGAGGGTCTTCACTGGTCCAACAAATTTCTATTCACTAAATGCTAACAGAAAAAAGAGCAGGAAGTCTTTTGTGTTCTGTTTCATTGGCTTTATGTGAAAGTTTCCCTAAAAGTTATTTTCCAAGATTATCTTAGCTATTGTCTTTATACCTCAGGGCCCAGCTGATGTGTCTCTGTGAGTCCTCGTGAGCCCAGCTCCAGCGGGGTCACATTCTCTATGCTCAAGGAGAGGGAATAATAACTCCAATATTATTCCTAAATCAATACAATGGTTTGTAATAATGAACAGGTGCTTCTTTGCAACACACATTAAAACATTATTATTATTATTACCATATTGTTATTAAAGATATTTTAGTGTATCTGGAAGTGTTTCTTTAATTTTTTTTATGCATAGAAACATACACTATATATTAAGACAAACGTTTAACTGAGTTTAGACATGAACTATACCTAACTGTTCCAACTTACATACAAATTCGATTTAAAGCCAGATTTAGTAAGAGAACTCATTCCTAATCTGGGGACTGCCTGTATAAAAAGAGTAGATTACACACAGAGAGAAGCAAGTGCAAATGGGGGAAAGATAGCTGCCACCGGAGAGTGGAAAGGAACGAAGAAACACCAGGGCTACAGAAGGTGGGACAAAGATTTTCCCCCAGAGCCAAAAGAGAGAGAGCCTTCCCCTCTAGTTCAAGCCCTGAATTCGGACTTCTAGCCCCCTAAACTGTGAGAAACTAAATTTCTTTTCTTTAAAGCTGCCCATGTGTGGCATTTTCCGTTACAGCAGTACTAGAAAACTAAGACAATTGGAAAATGGTACATACCTACCCTGAAATGCTATATTGTGGATTCACAGAATAACGCACCACCATAAAGATTAACCCACTGCCGCTGAGTCAATTCTGACCCATAGCAACCTTATAGGACAGAGAAGAACTGCCCCATAGGGTTTCTAAAGCTGTAAATCTTTATGGAGGCAGATTGCCACATCTTTCTCTCGCAGAGCTGCTGGTGGTTTCCAACCGCTCTGGTGGTTTCCAAATGCCAACCTTTCTGTTGACTGCTTTAACCACTGCACCACCAGGGCTCCTTTCCATAAAGATTACAGCCTTGGAAACCCTATACGGCAGTTCTACTCTTTCCTATATAGGGTCCACATGAGTCGGAATCGACTTCATGGCAACGGGTTGGGTTTAGTTTGGATCCTTCCAACAAGGAGCCTGGTGGCACAATGGTTAAGGCCTTGGCTGCTTAAAGGTTGGTAATTTGAACCCACCATCCACTCGGGGCAGGAAAAGACCTGGAGATCTGCTCCCATAAACATTTCAGCCTAGGAAACACTTTGGGGCAGTTCCACCCTGCCCTATAAGGCCATAATGAGTCGGGACGGACTTGAAGGCATACAACATCCTTCAAGCATGGGAGAGTTCAAAATCTGCCGTTAATTGTTAAAAGTAAGTTGCAGAAAGGGACATACAGTATGATACCACTTATTTTAAAAAAAGAAAGTGGTAGCACAAACAATGCTTAATATTTCATCTGGGCAAAGAGAGATCCGGGTTAAATCTGGAAGGAAGCCACACCACACAACCATTTCTGCTGGGAAGGGGGCTGGGACTGGGATTGTGGCATTGTCAGAGGGGACTTTAGCTTTCTGTTTTCTTTCTTTACAAGGAGAACGTGTTCATGAATATGTGTATAATTAAAAATTAACTTTTAAAAAGCCCTAAGCACAGGGCCCGACCAGGGACTGAGGTAACAGGCTCTCCTCATTCACACTGTTGTGTCAGTAGTGCAAGAGGTCAGAGGGAGCGGCGGGACTGTGCCCAAGCCCTGCAGCCCTCAATCCACCTCTGCCATCTTCCGCTCCGCGCTGGGAGCTGCTGGAGGGCGGGGCCTATCTGATTTCCTCCCAGAGCCCCAGGGGCAATCTCTGCAGTTGAGGTAGGGGTGGGGCACTCAGGCTAAGAGGATAAATTAACTCATCTCCAGCTCCTGCCTCCGGAGCACACTTGGTGGATCCTGTGGCCTCCAGACTGAGGGTGGAATACCCACAGGGTGGGCGTGAGAGAGGCCTACTCATCCATGGTCTAGTTTGAGAGGGTAGGTCTGGGGGAGCTCATCCAGGATGAGCTCCAAAGGGAGAAAAACTGAGCGTGGTGCAGAGGTTGGAGGGTCAACAGGGTGAGATGCCTTTAGAAGGAAAACTGCACTCTTAACTCCCACCCTGTGTGCACTTCAATGTCCACACTGAGACCAGCCTGGGCCTGGGGCTCTAGCCTCCAGTGGGCGGAGCCCATGAACTCATCCCAGATCCGCAGGAGATGTCCTCCAGCCTGACTGGGTGTGGGGATAAAGTGCAGAAGGGCCTTGAGAAACTAGCCCCACACCCAGGCCTGCAAAGCTCGGGGTGGGATGGCTCCGAGGCCCCATGCCCCCCACCAGATGGCGACTCTGACGCTTGGGTGCGCGCCCAGCCCTGCCTGGAACACCGGGTTCAGATACCAGCTTCAGGTTACTCGTGTGTCCTAGGGCTGAAACGGGGTAGGTGCCACTGCTGGGGAGGCAAGGGCATCCCGGGGCCAGGCCTCGGCGTGTGGAAGCCTCTCGGAGCAAGGGGAGCCGGGCTCTCGCTCGCAGCCGCCTCCCTCCAGAACCTTATCCAGCCCCGCCGCTTCCAGGCAGAACGTGGGCGCCGACGCTCGGAGGCTGTGGCCTGGGGGACTGGGTCCCCATCACTGGCGGCGGGTGGACCCGGAGTGTCAGGGCCCGGGTACCGCTGCATCTCACATTCGGTCCCGGGGTGTCCGGGGTCACGCTGCTGCAGGCCAACACATTCGGCCTAGGAGTGTCGGCGTGTTACTCCCTGTGGGAGCTTGCACCCTACCTGGCGAGCCGGCGTAAGCGTCCCATCCACGTCAAACAGGCAGAGGACGCGCTCCTTCCGGCGGGCGCCCTCGGAGGTGACTGCCATGGCTGCACCTTCGCGCGCAAGGCGGAGTCGCGGGTTGCACGCGCCCTAGCCCCGAGAGTAGGAGGAAGAGGGGACAGAAAACTGGGCCTGATTGGGCCAAACGATGAAGGGGCGTGGCCAGGGCCTGATCTCGGTGGGCGAGGGATTGCCCCGGACAGGGCAGGAGAGGGCAGGAGAGGGCAGGAAGGGAGGAGTGAACCCGGAAGAGAGAGGCGGGGACAGAGTTGGGGCTCGCCGGGATCGTTTGATAGCCCCGGGGGGAGAAGGGGCTGGACTGGGCGGGGGCCTCAAACCGCAGCGCAGTGCCAGGCGGGGCGAGGGCGGGACTCAGAGAGCCTGGTCAACCCCCGACTCTTCCTCGCCCGCGATCACTCTATGACTCATCACCTCATGTCTGATCTTTTACCCTAGTTGGCTTTTAAGAAATCCCTTGATGGCTTTTGCTCAGGCTTTGGGCTTTGCCAGTGGCCTTCTCTGACCCTTACTCCTCCTGTCATTCTTTCCAACCCGTATGGCCCAGCTCACGGAACACCGGCTTCAGGAAACATTCCCAGATCCCTCTATTCATAACTAAGCATCACGTTGACTGTGGAGTCAGTTCTGGGTTGACATCTCAGCTCCACTACTTTTTTTTGTTGTTCTTTGTTTTTCAGCTCCTCTACTTCGGACGAACCACTTCACCCCTCTAAGGCTTTGGGTCTGCATCTGGAAAATAGAAAGAAACCACCTACTTTGCAGAGTTGCTTTGCAGATGAACAGAAATAATAAATGTAGAAGAGCCCACACACAACCTGGCACACAGTAGGCACCGCACCAACGGAGACCTAGTATAGATGCTACTGACGCCATTACGGATTCAACAGTTACTACATGTGTCAAAAGCCTTAAACATGTGCAGACCCTTTGAGCCAGCAATTCCACTTTTAGAAATCTGTCCTGAGGACAGATACGCCATGACAGCACACTCCTCCTTTCCACCCCTAATTCCCCATTAAATGGCATATTATTATTATTTTACATTTAAATCCATGATTCATCTGGAATTTATCCTGGTATAAGGTGTGAGATTATTTTGTTCCACATAGCTACCCAGTTGTCTTAACACTTTTTATTGAATAATACATTTCCTCCCTGTGGTTTGAAAAGTTAAACGTTTTGCACAGGGGCAACGCTGTCAGGC